GATATCAGAAAATGTTCCAAATTTTTAGGTTTTTTAACGCTCTTTTTTTCTTTTCTTGATTTATCTACTTACTCTCCTCTAATATTTTTGTTCTTTTTTACCTAATCTTTGTTATATTTCTATTGCCAAGGATAAGAAAACTGAGTGAAAGTAGCTGAGAAAATTCTTTTCCTTCGACTGCTGCAGTCCTTTTTTTACGGCTTACCATTTACTACAGAGCTCTGCACAAATAACCAATTCTCTGTTCTTTGATTTGGTTTGATAGAAGAAAGCTGTGGAAGCATCAGGAAAGCCACTAGTGTCTTTCTTCTTCTATAATGGTTTCTTGCTAGCAAGATATTTTAGATATGAAATCCGTAGTTGATGACTCAGCCAATAACTTAATTTGCGAGGCCAATCAGACCTTTGACTCTCTTTTCGGAAAAATCATAAATATGGTCAATGAATTTGAAGACTCCAACATAAACAGTTTGGAAGTGAAATATGGTTTGAAGAATGTGGAAGAAGTATGTTTTGAGCCGTCTCTTTACTTTCACAATTCTCTTTACTTTTATTATTGTATACTAAAGTTTACCAAGACTAGAATAAAATGTAATTAAAGCTTTAGAAAACTTCTAAGATTTCCGGTCGTCTTCTTTTTTGGTTTAATAATTCAATGACAGAGAAAGTAGATAAAAAGTTCTAAGGAAGGGAACTTGTCGTTATTATAGTTTTTTGGAATTGCGGAAGAATTCCGTCTGCAATTGGTAAAGACCAAAGATTTAACAGAAAAAGCAATCACAGAAGTACAGGAACCGGAGAAAAAGAAGCTTCAAGATCTTCTTGATCAACTCAACAATATTACTGAGGTGCATCTTCAAGCTTTTAAACCCACCATTAAGACATCAACTGATGACAACCAACAAAATTTTCTTTGAAAAAAGTGTGGTAAAAAAAAATTAATTTTGCAGTAACAGCTAAAGTATTGAATTAAAATTACATAGAAAATACGTGATTTTAAACGTCTATTTAAGCATTTTAACGATTCATCGAAGGACTTTAATACAACATATGGTAAAGCTGAAGATCTTATCGAACAGGCTAAGAAAGCGGCAAGTTATTTTGAGTAAATTTACTCAAATTAGTCAATTAAACGCAGGTTTTACAAGAAGTTTTTCAAATTTTGAATTTTTTGTAAAAAAAATGAATGTATAATTGTAAAAAAATGATAACTTTTCAAAAATAGTTTTAGTAGAAGTAAAGAACTTCTGAAAGAAAAAACATTGTTTTTTTTTTAAAAGTTGTTATAAATTTAAACGGTAATAAAGTAATGTAATTTTTATTTAACTTTTAGACAATTGAGCAATTCGATGTTACAACGAAAGCAACTAACACTTCACGTGAAGCATTAAATTCAGTTACGAATGATCTTGCTCAAGCTATTACTCCAGTAGAGAAAAAAATCGAAGATATTCGGTCAATGTTAATGGATATCCAATCGAAGGTTGCCGATGTGAGTTTCAATATTTCCCACTGCTGTGTAGCTGTTTAGATAATTTGTTCAGTTCTTTCAGATGCTCATGACCATTCTTAGAACAGTTAAAAGATTGTGGATAAACCATAGGTCAACAGCTTTTCAACGCTATCTTGTAGCTAATTTATTGGTTTTTTTACTTCTGCAACTTTTATTTCGTTTTTTTGAAAATACATTAGAGGAATAAGATGTGAAAACTTTTTGAATTTTGTGACTTCACTGAAATAGACGGCTTAAAAACTTGGTCAACTAACACTCTGCGTTTTCTTTACAATATACAAATAACAGTTAGCGTTTTTGCCAGGGATAAGCAATAACCAATGCTTTTGGAAGTCTGTAGCAAAAATTTCGCTTTCTTTTTGTGTAAAAATTGAGCATAGAAAGAAGAAAGTAGTGCGTTTTGCTTAAATCTGAAGGTTGCAGCGAATGCCTGTCGTTAAGATGCATGCTTATATTTTAGACTTTCTTTTAAAATACACTGCTAAGTTACTCCAATTCAAATATTAAAATTTTTTCACTTATTTTCTTTTAACCTTTTCAAAATTGTAAAAAATTAGAGTTTAGCACTACATTTTTTCTAACCAAAAATTGATACACTTTTAAAACAGCAAAATTATTATGCATACTTTTGCCACATAAAACTAAAACTTGCCACTTTGAGCATCCTTCAGTAAATTGAGGTTTTTCAAAATTAATTCGTTTTTACATGTCTTAAGCGTCTAAGCATACTGTTTTAAGAATTTTTATTGAAAAATTGTAAAAGAGCGTAAATTATTTGTTATAAAGTCGAATTATATACATATTAAAATTTTAAATTATTTAACAAATTTAATTTGATACAAAACTAAATTTATTTTAGCTATGTGAAATGTTTTTTAAAATTGATTAAACAAATCATAAAAAGTGAAAAAGATCAAGTTCTTATGTTGTGAATGGAAATAACTTTTCTAATATTTCATAGTTTTCCGCATCAAAAGCCTCACTCTGCCGACAATAACCATTTCAAAACACCATTCTCAAAGTTCAGTAACCCGTGCTAAAAAAGATTTTGTTTGTAGCCTTGGAAATATTATTAGTGACCAATCTCGGTGCAGTTTTTAAAGTTTCATTTGCTCTTCGCTTTGTAACACGTCTGCTTCTAGAAAATTATCGTATTTGGTTGTGGAAGACTAAATTCTGCAGACAGAACTCAAAAAAAAAACCAGTATTCAGATTTTTGACTTTTGCTGTTTTAGAGAGATAAGTTTTCCCCCTGCAAGAGAGCTGGCAGAATGAAATATACAGATCTGAAAAGCAAAAATTGTAAATTATTTTCATCTACATTCTATGTAAATGTCTTAAAAACCATCTTGGTTCGTAGCTGAGAGAAATACTCTGTTTAATTTAAAGTAAATTGTTAAAAAGACTTTACTTATATTGAAATCAGAAAATGTTTCTCCTTTTACCTTTACAAAGTTTGTGACAGTACTGGAAAAGCTGTTCAGTCTGAGTTTACCGGTTTTAACATCTGAACTGAATAATATTTAGGATAAAATTCTGCTTTTTGAAGAGATGATTTTTGAATGATAGCAAATTAGTATAGCGCTTTTTACAAGTACTTTTTTTGTTTTTTAAGATATCATTCTTACTGAATCTGTTATCTCTCTGACATTAACAGCAACGACTGTCGTATAACTGTTGCGTAGAGCGCTCAGTCTTCAGCCTAAAGACCTATAAATCTATCTTTGTATTGAAACTAAATATATACATTTTGTTATCTTCTAGTTGCAACATCTAATAAACTCCTGTTTTGCTCTAAACTGGGCACTGCTCTAAACTCTAAGCATTAGCAACTGCACTAACTTATTATTACTATTAACCTTTTTAGCCCAGTAGTACAGACAGCAGTACATTTTTTCTCTACTTAACATCAGACATAGTTACACATTCCTCAAACACCAATGTATTTTATATTTTTTGACTGTATTTTTTAATTATCAGATTTGTTGAAAACTAGATTTAATGTAACCTGAAGTACAAATAGTCGTTTTTTTGTATTACTAGTAAAACTTGTAACTAGAAGAATGTAAGAAATCAGTGCTGGTAAAAATCAAATAAATTATTAGCGAGGTGGATAAAATCTGCATAACCGTTAGGCATTTAATCTGATAAGTTGAAAAAGTAGAATGCAACAGATATAACTTTTATTGGTTAATTTTGGTGAACTGAAGGTTATAGAAACAGAAAATCTAAATATAAAAAAGTTGTTCGTAGATTTTAAAATTCTGTACTGTTAAACTCAAAAAAATTTTACTTTACTTTGATACTCAAAAAAATATTATTAAGTTCTAAAGCTTGCTCAGCAAGAAAAACTAAAAGAAAGAAACGAAACTACAAATAATTTTCTATTTTAATTTGTGGAAAAAAGATGAGCAAAGATGCTAAAATTACCACTTTGTCTTTATTTGCACAGACTTTCTAAGTAATGCTTACTGCTGTTTTAATGTACTTTTACCAAAACTTTACGTTATATTATCTTTTCGCAACTTTCTATGAATCCATTTTTTTTCAACAGGTCTCAGTAGCTTGTTAGAATCACTCAGAAGTGAAAATGTACACGATAATTTTCTTAAACATTTAACATGATCTCTTAAACACAAAAATTTTAAAAGGCTACTTTTCAGTCTTCAGCTCGAAGCTCGGCATTTTCTGGAGCAAAAGCTATTATTCTTGTACCGGTGACTGTAGTGGCCGCTTCTGTCATATTTGTACTTGTATTTGGTGTTTTACGCATCTTTCAAAGGTAACCTGTTATAACTAACAAACTTTGATTTTATAGCTGGTCTGTCAAAGAATCTACAGTTATTGAATTCGGTTTCTTAGAGGCTAAGCATTTACCAGACACCTGCAAACTGCAAATGATAATATAACGTACTTTTTTGAAAGTTTGACAAAAATAATTTTTCAAAAAAAAGCTACTGTTTATTGTTCTTTTTTTGCCATTTGCACAATTAAATTAGACAAGGGCTAGCAGAAAAGTCAGTTTGTAATGACTTAGTAACGAAGAGTAATGATGTAGTTTTGACAACGATGCTGCCCCTTCTATCAAAATTTAGCTTAAAAATAAAAAAGACAAAAAAAAAATTGTCTTTCTTTCTTGGTTACCTGTACTCTAAAAATTTCTTTTAGAATTGCGCCAAAAATAATGTCAAAATTCCTTAAAGTTGGAGGAAAAGTTGCAACTTTTGGAATTGTATTAACCTTTATTATTTCGTGGATTATTATGGCTTTATCAACGTAAGTCATTTCTTTTCTAAATACTTCTTTAATTATGTGCAACTTCTTCTTGTCAAAAACTGCTTATTTATTTCTTGTAATACAACGCATTCTATCTGAAAAAGTTAACCAAATACAGTTTTGCTTACAGTATTATGTTCTTTGGTGGTTTTGGTATCGAGGCCGGCTGCAAAGTGCTGTTTCGTGATGAAGATATGAAAATTTTCAAGCATATTCCTTACCTAGACTTCGAAATTCCAAATCATTATGACACAAAGAATGCAGTTAAAATAAATGTTGGGTAAGCTGACAGAAAGTATTATTCCAATTAATTATTACCTAAAAAATTTTTCAGTTCAAAGTTAAACCTTAAAAAAGATATGAATTCATTTTTTTATCTAAATTTTCGCAGTAATCAAATATCGTAAATTTCAGCGATGTATTTAAGCAGTGCAGCAAAAATAGCTCAATATACACAGTTTTCCAAGGAGATAAACTGATAAACGAAACTGGAATAATGAATGACATAGATCTTCCAAAGCACAAAAATGAAGTTATTAAAGCCATTCAAGAACATAATATTACATTCACGTTTCCAGATACTCATCTCGCCACTACTAAAGTTAGACTGCTTTTCTCGTCTATTTTCCGTTATCTAACTCTAATATCTCAAGTTTTTTTTTATTGTTAAGTTTGCTTTTTTGTAAGGTTTATTTCAACTTGCTCCTTTATTCATACTTAATAAATCTTTTTGTTGTTTTTTTTTCTTGTAAACTTTGTTATTATAAGCGCAAGACCTTTTGTTGGTTTAGATCTTCTTCTAACTTTGCAGTGTACTTCTTTTTGATAAATGGAAGCAGTTATAAAACTGGAAAAGATGGTTTAGGATGAAATAAAATTTAGGAAAATTTTAGCGAATAGGAGATGCGATAATAGTAGACTACAATAGGTGAGGAAGGTACTCAGCAGCTTTCATCAGTAACTAATAAACGTTTGCTGACCAACAAAATACTGTATCGCGACTGAGTTATCGTATTTTAGAAATAATAAGTATTGTTTTCAACTGAAATTTTTGTTGCTTTTGAATTCACTAATTAATTTTTTTTATCGAAAAGTGCAGTTTTATTAAATCCAATATATATGTGAAACAGGCATGATCTGACAAAAATGATTATTTATGACAGCTTGAAGAGAGCTTGAGCATTAGTATAAATTTAAAGATCATAAATTTAAAGAGCTGTTTTTTAAACCAAAAAATTGGCGCAAAAGTAAGAAATATAGAAGAAGCATTAGCAGAACTGCTGACGAAGTTTGATTTTGCAGAACTGGCGTGCTCAAATTTTGCTGTTCAATAAGGATACAAAATTTTTCAACTACTTTTGATGATTTCGTAACAGACTGAGTTAAAAAAGAACTTTGAAAGAGATTATAATACTATTTTGTGAAAAGTGAGATAGATAAAAAAAAACTGTGGTCTTGAAATGTTTGAAGTTACAAAAAGTAAAAGATTATTTTGGTTTTAATTTAAAAGAGCCTGCATTTGAAAAATTTACTTCAAAGTATACTAAGCTTTCTTGAATACAAGAGAAATAAGGTTTTTAAAACAGTAACAGATTTGATTCTTTCCAAACTTTGTTCTACAGCATATTCTCACCGACTGTTTAGGGTGATACAGACAACCTACAGAGTGCTCTTGACGGCATTGGTGATCAAGAACAATTAAAAGATGTAAAGGATAATGGAAATAAACTGATAGAAATGCTTAGGTAAATTGAGCAAAGAAGTTAATTATTTTTTATAAAGTTTTTCGAGTATAATAAAGTGATTATATTTTTGCAATTAACGACTGTTTGTTAAATTTTCATTTAATTCAAATTTTTGAGTGGAAGTTTTTGTTTTTTTTTTTTGACACTAAGAAAAGGTTGACGGTTTTTATTTTTTTTTAATATGTACAGCTATATGTGTTTTTTAGAAACATGACCACCATCTTTAATGAAACGTTGAAAGCTGCTAAGAAGTCGGAAGGATTTATTAATGATACTATTGTTATGGTTGACGACCTTTTTAGTAATCTGAGTAAAACCGTACCAAATCTGATCGGCAATGTTAAAGTATGTTTTTTCTAGAATTATACTTTTTAGCAATCAAAAACCAATTTAGATTACAAGTTTGCAGAATAAGCTAAGTTCTGTTGCATTTTGAGACAGTATTTAAAAATTTACTCGAATGTAATAGTTCAGAATAATGAGACTTAAATTCTTGAATCCTTGTTGCTTGTCTGACTGATAAACTATTGATTCAACTTCAGCTAATGCTTTAAAGAAGCATCATTTGTTAGAAAGAAGTTATTTTTCAAAACTATTAGAACACCAAAGCCTAATTTCTTTAGAATGTATGACGAAATTTACAATTGACTATCTAATAAATGTTTACTTTCAAGTAGCGAATTGTCTCGGACCAATTTAAAAAAAAACAACCTGTATATCATAAATGATAAAAAAATTTGTTCTTTAGGTGACAATTGTAAGAAAAGATTGTTCTTTCGTTTTGCACTCAACTAAAAATATTCAGTTCTAGTTTATCACGGTCGCCAAAAATATTGACTGATTATTTGGTGGAATAATACCTTATACTAAATTATATTCACTGATTAACTAACTTTAGACAGCAACATATAATCTGCTGTTTCTGTCTTTTATTTTTGCTAGTAATGTTTCAATTTAGAATGATTTACGAGAATCTGTTTACCCCTGTCGACCAGTATACGATTTATGGCAAAACATTGGTGCGCTGGGATGTGATCGAATGGGCAAACCAGTTCAAGGGGTTTGGACCTCTCTCGGATTAATCGCTGTTCTTTTCATACCAACTGTCATATTAATGATTATTGTCTCTGGAATATTGTACGAAAAATATCAGCAGAACGACTATGCGAAGAGGGAGTCAGACGTGGTATAATTTTGTTTTCTGTAAAACGAAGAAACTGCAAAAAAAATTACTGTGTACTGAAAATAGTTGAATGGTCATTTCCAAATAATAACTTTTTTCGGGTGATTAGTCTTTGTTAAGTATTTTTTAAAGCAGGTGCGTTGTTGACATTAGATAAATGGAATATGGAAATCTTGGGAATTGTCCGAGTTAATGCGATACTTTCTTTCTTTCTTTTTCTTTTTTATTGTCTTTTTTTTTTCGCATCACTACAGTTAAGCTTATCCTCAATCACCATCTGATTTTTCGAAAATTAAAAAGAAATATACAGAGAAACCTGTAAGTTTCATTGTTTAAAGAAGACAAAGTCTGGAAAAAAGTAACAACACAATAAATAAAAGCTATTAATAAAAAAAAAAGCCAATTTTGAAGACAGGAATGCCTAAATGTGGCACTGTCTTACATGGGTCATTTTTGGCTAAGCTGTTTTAAGAAAGAAGAATTACATAAATGTTTTTTTTTTTTTTTTGAATTACTCGTTTTGACACTTGACTATATTTGGTTGTCATAATGTGATCAGATAAAAAAGCTTGAATTTGTGAGTCAAACGGTTGAAAACACTGTTACAATTGCAGGATTATGATTCAAAGCCTGGTCAGTATTTGAACGAAAGCTACCGGTATCCGCCAGCATCGACTATAGGCAGCCTTTATTCATGATTAGTTTATATTTTTTTATAGCGGTCTGTGACAGCAGAGTCTGAATAATGATGTGGTTATAAATTCTGCTATTTGTGCCAGATTATTGCTTTACGAGCTTGAAGCACTCTTTTGTGTGGTTTTTAATGTTGCTGATAAGTTTTTTTTGATAGTAACCCACTTATTGATGTTAGTGAAAGTACATACTGTTGTCGTTAAGTTCATTGAGCTAAATAGCAGTCGTTGTCCTGGTGATGAAACCTATGATTTTTTCCTCACAATTGTTCAAAGTTTGTAAAACCACCTTTCAACAACTTCTCAATGTTTAAAACGTCTTCAATTGAGTTGTTGTAAATTTCAAGTGATCAGCAGCACTTTTATGATTTATCAAGACCAGTTTTATCCTATTTTTGGCTTTTTAAGTATACATTTTTCAAAATTTTAGATTTTAAAATGTTTTAGAAGTTGTGTTAGTACACTCAAATAAGTGTTATTAGTCTTTATCGGATAAATGATTTGATGTTTTATTTCCCACTCTTATTTTGTTTATTCATCCTTACTTTGTTTTATTATTGTTGCAGATGCAACTGCAAATTTGTTAACTTATTATAGCAGATGAACAGGCACTTATAATAGTAGGAATTTTGTACATGTGTATATTGTATATCTTTGTTGCTTATATTAGTATATTCTATCAATTTAGAAATATTTTTTATTTTGGCATTGTTTTGTATTACTAACAAAAATAACACATATGAAAAATAAAAGATACAAAACTCTTGCTACTGTTTGAAGCGGTTATGGTTTATCAGATAACTGTGAGCCTCCCAAAGTGATGATAAACATTTCCGAACCCGTGTTGCATTCCAAAAATTTCAGCCGTGTTGCATACTTCTATTATTTGATTTATTAGTGCAGACTAGTAAAAAATTGTTTTAAGCGTCAATTCACAGATATTTTAATTTTTCATTCTAATTCTGTTAAGATTTGTCTAAATTTTTAGGTTTAGTTTGATCGCATATAATGCATAATGATTAAGGACTGACGATAACTGCAATAAACAGCTAATATTATGAACAGCAATAATCTTGAATTCATGACCTAAGCTGGTCTATAACTGCTAATAAGCTAAAAAGTTGCAGTTCTAAAGTTTTTTTCTGCTATTTTGTTTGTTGTGTCAAATAAAAGATGTTGTATTCTGTAAATTTTGGCTCACGCCTATATTCAGCTGAGAATGATAAAATATTTGAATCATGAAGTGCGAAGAAATTGCATGGCTAATTTTACAGGAAATCTAGAATATAATAAAGCAAAAAGAAAGAAGATAAAGATAAGAAGAAAGACCAGAAATTTTTAATCATTTTGCTTAAATCAAATTCGAGAATTTTGGAACTATTCGTTGACCAACTGTTTAACATTGGACGAACAGATGAAACTGTGTGCTTGCTTGGTAGAGTAAAAAATTTGGAAACGGTCTATTCAAATTGCAAGAAAGAAATTGAATAATTTAATCGAAGATTGAAAATAAAAACAGTAAGCAGACAAAAAAAAGGGAATATGGTAATTTTACCAAAACAAAGTGAAAAGTGTTTTGATTGAAGAGGAATTGAAGAATTAAAAAGAAGGTTGATGGAACAGTCGCCTACAGAGTTGGAAATTGCCCATTTTAAAAGAATGCAAATGCACAAAGATTTATATGCACATATTTGTACTACAAATATTTTCATAAAAAAAGCAAATATTTAACACGTTTTTTTAAAAAGAAATTTAACTAAACAACGGCATTTGCAAAATTATTTTAGGCGAAAAGAGTTGGTCAATAAAAAAAAAACATGTATCAAAAATTTTTTTTTGCTTAAGGAAGATAAAGTAAAGTAATTTCCGAGAATTGTGTCAGCACGTCACTAAAAAACTGAGTGAAAAATTTGTTTATCAGAGTTTTCAACTAAACAACATTACGACTGAATGTTGAGGTCTATTATCAAACTGTAGAATTTTTAAATAATTATAAGATTTATAAGAAAGAAAAAGTAGATTAGACTGAGCAATGTAGCGCATATAATAGGCACAAACAACTACACTTTTTATTTTTGTAAAACAATTTTTTTTTTTGAAAAAAGATCAGCAATAACCAAAAATTTACTTTTATTCATCTTTCCCTTTTTTTTGGAGTTAAATCTTGATCAGTGTTTGAAATGTTAGACTTTGTATTGTCAGCTACCGTTATGTGACAGTACAAGAGCATTTTTTACTTCTACTTCTGAACAGTGTATTATTTTTACTGACAATGGCAACTAACACCGTTCAAAATTTGCTTGTTCATAATTTTTGATTTCTGTTGAGTTTATAGAGTTGACAGCCATGAAGAAAATTTCTGATTTGTATTTTTCTTTGTTTCGAACCACTTTAATTACGGTAAACCTGCAAATTTTCAAGTGGAAGACTGTACATTTTTATAGATTTGTTTTTTTATAGCAAAACGTGAAAACAGCTTTCCAATTTGTATTCAGAAACAAACCTTCTAAATCTTCTATCTGTTTTTGAACTTTTTTAATTCTGTCTGCCACTTAAGTTTTGACTCTCATCATGAATTCAACAAACCTGTTTTTTGGAACTGAACCAGAGAAAATAAATGGTATTTTGTGGTTAATGCATCGGTAGCTAGCACTATGCTCATCGTGAAAGTGTGAAAATAAAACAAATATAGGTCGTTGTTTTTTAATACTGAAATTGCATCAGTTACGCATAAAGCAACTAAAAAAGATCGTTCAAATTTGCTATGTTTAAATTAATTTGTGACCGTCAATTTTGTGGCTATTTTAAAATACAAACCTTTGAAAAATTAGAAAGAAAACTCACTGGTTAAGGATTGTTTTTTCGATAACTATAGAACTTTTGGCGTCAAGATAATGAAGATTTATGAAAATAGGTATATTAGAGTTTGCAAGAGATTTCATTTCTTGTCGAAACCATGGAACATTATCCTCAATTGTCCACTTGCTTCGTGAAGCAGTAAAGTCAGTTTTGTAACCAAGTTTGTTATGCAGCTGAATTATTCGAGCACAGGTTTTTCCTAAAAAGTTAGCAAAAAAGTAGTGTATAGCAAGCAAGAGTATTTGGTAACAAAAGATTACATCTAATAATCTGGACAAAATTTTGCTGCTGCTATTGAAGAAAAAAAGTTTATATAACGTTATATAAGTCTAGAAGAATAGCTGAATAATCTAGTGTTTTCAAAGTAAATTTTTGTTTAATAAATGCACTAATAGCAGATGAAACCATCAAAATAAAATCAAAAGCAACGTTTTTCTGACTCACATTTTTTGCAACTATCAATTATCTGTAAAAAACAAGAATTTATAAAATCAAAAACTACTATTTTGATGTTCTAACAAATTGCATACAGGAATTTGTTTTGGCAAAAAAGACTAACTAAAAAACAATCATAAAAACAATCGCTTTTTATAATAATTCATTTTTCGTGAAAAAGTTACATTATTTGTCTATTTCAGACAAGAAATACCGTTTTTGCTGCAAACAGTTTCTGCATAAGCGAAACTACCATTATAATGATTAAGCTTCGAATTTTTTACGCCTTGCTTTGAATAATCGATTTTCAGTCCGCTTGTTTCTCCATATTTTACAAACCTATTAATTTCAAGAAAACTATTTTTATGTTGATAATTAATCTAAAAGACTTTACAAGCAAATAGTTGATAATAATCAAGCAACATCACTTTTAATCATCACTTTATCAAAAATATTTCTTCTTGTGCATCTAGATATAATTACTAAACAGTAAATTTTCTTTTTACTGGGTAAAAAGTATAAAATACTGTTCGAATCTTTCAGGTTTCATAAGTAGTCTGCTTTACAGTTTGCTCCAGTGGCAAACTTTTGCTGCCAGCTTTTCTTTTTTTAAAATTCTTCTTCTTTTTCGTATGACACAGTAAGTCGAACAATATCAGTCTTTTGCATGGTGTAGAAGGGACTTATAATCTCCAGTAACTTTGCATGTTTCAGAATCAAATAGCTACAGCACATAGTTGAAAAGCATTTTCTACCAATCCAAATTTTTGCCAGCAACTGATTTTTGTGTAATATGCGAGTGATTATTAGCGGTACTCTCAAATGAACAGGCAAATAGCTGAGACTATTAAACACAGAGTTTGAATTCTGTTCTAATCTAAGAATTGGACTTATTTAATCTCAACCAGTTACGTTTTAAGTAAAAATGAAGTTTTTATTGCTAATCCAAGTCAAATATTGACTACGAAAGAGCAAATGAAGTGAAATATGTTAGAATTTTCAATTAGATGGCTGATTATACAACGCTCTGGCTACAAAAAACTGATATCAAAAATAATCAAAAGCAGTTGTACAATTTTTTGATAAGCAGCAGACTCTCAAACTAAACAAGAACAAATTATTACGCCTAATTTATTCTTATTGTTTTATCAAAGTTAGAAGTTAGGTGGTTTACCGTAAATAAAAGCTTATTTTCAGTCAGCTTTTTTACTGCAAATTTTTAATTACTATTGGTCATGCAGAAGTACTTTTTTAAATCTTTTGTACCACTGTTTACGTACTACAAAGCAATTAATTTTGTTAAAAACTTGCTATTAGCATAATTTTTAAGAAGTTCTTTAGAAAATAAAAATACAGGTTAATCTTTTTTATGCGTAATTAGAAAATTTTAGATTGTTAATAATTGCTGAATTGCCTACCAATCAAGCATTCGATGAGCACAAGAATTTTGAAAACAGTCATTAACATCGCTCTCGTAGTCATGGTTTCCCAGTCCAAAAAACTTCCTTCCAGGAAAATTTGACCAATATTCCTAAAATAATTTGAACAGATTTGAGCAGTCTGCTGTAGGAACAGTTAATACATTGAGCAATTGTACTCGATCTACAAGGTTATTTGATTAACAGTGTTTAAAAAAAGAGGGATGTTTACGCTGCAAAGTTTTTTTTTGCTGTTAAAACTTTTAGTTATGTGAATAAAAAGCGTAGAATTGTAGAGGTAATTACAAAAAAAATTAGCGTTTATCTGAAATACGGTTCTTCAGGCTTCTTAATTCATAAACCTTTGCCAAGAAAATTTTCTCCAAGTTGTTTTTACACTCGTTGGTTTTCTGCTCAAAAATTATTTAGTGCTTTAAGTACCTAGACCAAAAGCAGTACACTTTAAGAACGACTTTTTAGAGAGTACTAAAAGACTATATCAGCATAATATATCACTTGACAGTATCTCGAAAAGAAACTGAATTAAATCACCCTTAACTTTGATCACTTTCCAACTAAAGATTTTTACAGTTCACAATAAACAAAGATATTATTATTATTATTATTATTGTTTTATTTTTTAAAAAGTTCTACTGCATTTTCAGAAAAAAAAAAATGAAAAAGTATGGCACTACTTCTACAAGTAAAGTAAGTTTAGGTGTTAGCTCTTGTCTTCTTATTGTTAGAACAGTAAAAGATATATTGTTAGAACAATAAACCTGTGATGTCAAATAAGATTTCTTACTTACTGACCGAAATTTTATTAGAGGAAATATTTACTTTTTTTTGGAGCACTAAAATTCACATGGTAAGGCATTAATGCAACCATAAAACTAGCAGTATCTAATTGTCAAAATTTTTAATTTTTAACTGAACTAGCTAGAAGAGTAATACAAAAAACTTATACATCTTGACAGTATATCTTTAAGTTTTTCTTAATACACTAATAGATTATTCACTGATAATTTGAATATTACAATCTTTTTGCAAATTTTTACACATTATAAAACAATGGTACTTTTTTCAACTTTAGAATGACAATGCAAACTTTTTTGTTAAAAATCTTTCTTTAAAAAAACGTTTAGCGCTTCCCTAAAAGCTTTTGATTAAACAAAAGCTGTATCAAATAGAATAATCTTTTTGCAAATTTTTAATTTATAAATTGCGCAGCTTAGTTTGATTAGTTCAAAAAACTTTCATTTACGCCTATGTCGCTATAATTTACAAAATACCTTTTTTTTTTTTTTTTTTTTTTGTGCAAATATAAATTATCAAAAACAAAAAACTAAATTCGAAAGTTTTTGCAGATTAAACAGAAACATAGAATACTAAGTTTTAAATTTGTTTAATTCAAGAATTAGTTGTTATAATAAAAACTTTTGATAACCTAATTGTGCTGACTTAAACTGTTAATAATAACAAGTGAAAAACTCTGTTTTAAACAAGGCTAATTAATAAATGTAAACGACAATATTTATAAGCATAAAAATAAAGCGTTAAATAGATGTCTTGCTAAAGAAAAAAAAAAAGTTTATTTTCAAGATATCAACTGGAATTGTTTTTTTTATCAAAAAGCGTCAAACTACAGCTCAATGAGATCAAACAATAACAGTTTGTTACAAGAAATTTGAAGGCGTTTTAAACATAAATTTTACCAAATGATTTCATACCCTTCAAAGCTGTTTCTATGAAGCAACTTATTTCTTTTTTTTTCTTTTTTGTTTAAATTCTGTTATACAAAAACTTTTTTGATGTATAAATTTTAATGAAAAATTATACATTCACTGTACAAAATAATTTATCTTTTTAAGAAAAAAAAAGAAAAGCTGAAATTGTTAATCATTTTTTTTTTTGCTGATAAGTTAATTAAATTATATTAATATAACAGGAAAACGAGAAGCAAATAACAACGTTTACAATGTTAGTGAACAGTGACGAAGAAAAAAAAAAAACTGACCTTAAATGCCTGAAGTTCTTCGATCAGACCGGATGCAGTTAAATCGCCATTTATAACTAATGCTGCTGGTGGTGTGGGCAATGATTTTGCTAAATTTGTCATAAGTCCTCTGCAAATGTTCAGCAATTTTCTAACACTAATTTGATTGCCAGTTTAAGTTAGCAGATTTAAGGGTATAAAATAAAAAGTTTTATTTTATTTTTTTTTTTTATTCAACCAGCATACTGTAGACAAAAAATTCATTTTTTTTTCCTTTATTTTAAAAAATTTTTGATAGGAAAATTACGCTTGTATCGTATTCGAAAATCTTCCTTCTTCCTCTATGCATTTTTGTTCTTCATTTCTAGATTTCGATGATGATTTACTAGATTGACAATACTAAAATACTTTCAATTATTATAAAAATTTTAGAATAAAACAAAAAAATTTTGCTTAAAATTTTAATTAGTCTTTTTCTACTACTACAGTTTCCTGCATAATTTTCAGTCAAGCTTTGGTTGCAGTTTTTATATTTTAAATTTAAAATTACCAAAAAAGAATATCACTTTATCAATATTTATTGTCAGAGCACTAAAACGTTTTACGCAATTATCAAAAACTATTCTTGTTTTAGACGCCACTTTTACATCATTTTTATTCCATTTATTCCATTAATATTTACAATAAACTGTATTTAAAACCTTAAATTAACGCTTATTTATCTCGTTCAATTTGTGTTCTTTTCTATAAGTTTTGCTTGCTTCTTTACAATTTTTGTTTGAAGTTTCACACAACCAGAACAGCTGTGTATCTGCGGTAAAGAAGATTATTAGGTTAGCGTCACTTGAGTTGAACAATTTCTGTATTCTTTCACTTTTTCCTAGAACAAATATGATATTGGTAGAATACAATCTTAAGTTTATTAGCCTGTTTAAAAAGCTTTTTTATTGCTTTGAAAAAAATTGTAACCTGTACATTATAATTTTAAAAATTTGACAGGCTGCAATTGAAACTAAACAGATTCTACATTAAGCTGCATACTTTTTTAAACCGATATCTGATAATTATTTCAACATTTCATATTTGTCAAACATTGCCAATGATTAGCTTTAAGCTTAAAAATTTAGTAAAGAATTTAGCAAAATGTCTAATGGTATTGTTTATCGAAATTTAAACAATTTTGCACTGTATGCTGCTTAACTGCGATTTTTTTCAGATTTCGTATTTGCATTTTCCGTAAAAAAAGCTACACAATTTTGAATTTTGATAGAAACCGAGTCGTGAAACATGTGGAAACTGCAGCAAGCAGAACTTATTGCTTTTTCAAATTCAAGATCAGATTTTATTGATTAAAATAATGTTTAAAAAGATGATGATAAAAAGGGTTAAAGTTTTAACGTGAAAGTGGCTAACAGTATTTTATCTTCTACAAATACCAGTGGTATCTGCCTTCTGCTTAACGAAATGAATAGTTTGCTAAAATACAGAAAAAAGTGCAGTATAAGAATGAATTAATTAACAAAATAGTTTTACATTCCTTTAAATAACAGTGAATAATAACAGTAACCAATAAAAATGACGCAAACCTTGAACATTTTTTCGGGTTATCCGATCATCAGCGGTACAACTCCATGTAAATGCTGACACGAGAAGTATCAATTTTGAAACAGTTATTTTAATTAAATTCATTTCCGAATATTGCTCAACCACAAATCTATAATATAGACAGCTTAACAGTTGTTATAAAGTCTTTGTTACTTTCAAAGCAGTTTATAGAAGACATGAACTATTGCTAAAGTTCTAATGCAATAGCATAGAGCTTCTCGAAGGCTGTTATCTTTGCAATGTAATTTACCTAACAAATGTAAATTCTTACTGAGACAGAGTACTAAGACTAAATTACCTGGTAAAGAAAGAAAAAGTGATAATTTCTAGAAACTTATTCTAAAAAATTTAGAATTTTATGCCTTTCATTCCATAATGAAGGTCAGCCATTAAAATACAACTGGTAAGCATCATATGTACAACAGTTAACATAGTACTTTTACGAAACAGTATGAACAACAGCATAAGAGACATATATATATCTGAGCAACCAGTCTAAACTTGCGTAATACTCAGTAGCAGCCTATTAGGAAATGCAGCTGCTATAAAACATATATAAATAAAAACCCTTGAAAACAAACTTTTTAAACGCTGTCACTAAGACTCAATACAAATTCTGATAACAATAAAAAATGTTATAAAACTTGTTGTTCAGAATTCAGGGCTTGATGATAAAAGTTCATTTGCGACATGTCTGAAACTACACAGCGATTGCATACTAGTTTTTCATTCCAACATTTAAATAAATAAGTTGTCAGTAGAATATAAAAAATTCTTCGTTTAACTTGAAACCTATTAAAAACAACATTAAATAAATGAAATGTTACTTATTTGATGTATCTATTCTTACTTAACACTTATACTTCTTCTAAGCTACCAGTTTTACAATGAGCAGCCATAAGCTGTACAAATCATTAATCTCATCAAAAAGCCAATAACTATTATTCATAGTAAATTTAATACAAGATATCTAAGTTTTCATTTATAGAGCACATACAAGTTTAATAAAGTGCAAAAAAAACTTATAAAAATTCAGTTAATAAAAATTAATACAAATCTACATCAAACACTCATTAGCAAAAAAATCAACAATCGTAAAATTTTTTATTTGAAATCTGTTTATTCTAAATAACTTCTTGCTTTTAAAAATAACTGTTAAAACAATTGCTTATTATTTCACTTAAAAAGCGTAATCTTTATCAAATCATAGCATTTGCCTGCTTACAATTTGACTTAGTCTGAACAGTACCTGCGTGACAGAATTCTATCACGCTTAAATGCACCTGCCTACTAAAATATACGTGAGAAATTTTAAAATTAAAATTCTACTATTTCCACTTCAGCACAGCTTTTCACTGCATTTTATGTGGGCCATTCCACGTCAAATCGCACACTTTTTTCCCTTCA